ATTAGTCTGTCCTCATGAAATGGCTTTAATGACACTCCTTCTTTCGGCATTCTCTTTGGGAACGTTTATACAGGTTTCAGATTAACACCGGGGTTTTCTTCTTCCTCTTTTGGTCTCGAGCACCAGCTTTCAATTGAATCTTTCGGCTTTTCTGTTTCAGGTTCTTTGGCTTCTTACCTCTAAGCCAGTCACGACTAATTGTTCCTCTTCGTCCTTTACCGTTCATCCTTTACTACCCAGGAACTGCACGCTTTTGCTCAGGTGCGTCTTCAGGAACACGTGTAGCAGTGGGCTTTGGGTTTCTCAGTCGGAGCTTTGTTTTCTGCGCCGCCAAGGTAACTCTGTCTTTTGTGTACTCTTCTCTTCTTTTCCTCCACAACACGTTCACTTCGGTTTAATCTTTCTTCTAAGGGTTTGATACTGTTTTGCTTCTCTGAATCTGGTTTTATTCCTTTTTCATTGTTTCAAAAACTGTCTCGTTTTCTGTCAGCTTACTCTCCGTTTCGTGGTACAGTTTCAAGCACTCTCTATTTCACTGGATACTTCTTCCTTTGTAGTTTGTAATACGACTTTCGCCTTTCATCTCTTTAGCTTTTTCGTTTTGGTTTTTTTAATTTTCTACACAATTCTTCTGAATCTTTGGGTTGTATTTGCATTCTCTTTTTCCTGTGATCATCTATCGATTCTCCTTTTGGAATGGCTTCAATATTACTCTTCTTTGGCACTTCATCTTTTTGGCGTTTTACAGTTCAGAACGACTTCGGGCTTTTCTTCTTCTTCTTTTGGTCTGCGAGCACCAGGTTTCAATTGATTTTTCGGTTTCCTGCTCAGGTTTCTTGGGCTTCTTTCCTCTAAGCCACGGTACACGACTAATGTGTTCCTCTTCGTCCTCCTTTACAGGTTCATCCTTTACTGCCTCAGGAAACTGCACGGTTTGTATCTCAGGTGCGTCTTCAGGAACAGTGTATCAGTCGGGCTTTGGGTTTCTCTGTCGGAGCCTTTGGTTTTCTCGCCGCCAAGTAACTCTGTCTTTGTGTCCCTCTCGTTCTGTTCCCCACAAGTTCTCCTTCTGGTTGTATCTTTCTTTCTAGGGTTTAAGAGTAGTTTTTTCTTCTTTTACTGAGGCTTAATATCTTTTTACCGGTTTAATATAATAGTTTCTGGTGTTTTCTTCAGGCTTATCTACTGTTTCAGTGGTACAGTTTCAAACGCACTCCTCTTTTCACTTACTACTCCTTTGTAGGCTTTCATTTTCAAATGCGCCTTTATCATCTTTAAGGCTTTTTTGTTTTAGGTTTTTAATTTTTTCTACGTCTATCTTCCACATTTTTGCAGTAATTCATGTCTATTTTTTCTCATAGTGTTCATCTACTGTTTTCCTTTTAGATGGTTTCCAATACACTTTCTTCGGCACTTCATCTTTGGAAAGACGTTTTACAGGTTTCAAACGACTTCGGGCTTTTCTTCTTCCTTCTTGGTCGACGAACACCAGGTTTCAAATGATTTGTTCGTTTCGCTCTCAGGTTTCTTGGCTTTTTTTCCTCTAAGCCACGTACACTCTAATGTGTTCCTCTTCGTCCTCCTTACAGGTTCATCATTTACTACCTCAGAACTGGCACGGTGCTGCTCAGTGCGTCTTCAGGAACAGGTGTATCATCGGGGCTTTGGTTTCTCTGTCGGAGCCTTGTTTTCTGCGCCGCCAGGTAACTCTGTCTTTTGTGTAATCTTCTTCTCTTCTTTTCTTCCCCGACACAGTTCAACTTCAGCTTTTGTATCTTTCTGTCTAAAGGTTTAAGAACTGTTTTGATTCTTTCTCAGCTCAGGTTTTATTCTTTTTCATTGGTTTTTATACACAGTCTTTGGTTTTTCTTCAATCTTATCTACTGTTTCCAGATATTACAGTTTCAAACGCACCTCTCATTTCACTTACCAACTCTTCCTTTGTAGGCTCTCATTTTCAAATTTTGCCTTTAACATCTTTAGGTTTTTTCGTTTTGGGTTTTTTTAGTTTTTGTAATTTTCTTCTGAATCTTTGTGTATTTGCAAGTCTTTTTTGTCCTCAACTTCCTCCTCTATCGTCTTCTCCCTTTGGAAGGCTTCAATATACTTCTTTTTGGCACTTCATCTTTGGAGGCGTTTACAGGTTTTCAGAACGACTTCGGCTTTTCTTCTTCCTCTTTTGGTCTGCGACACCGGTTTCAATTGAATTCTTGGTTTGCTGTTCAGTTTCTTGCTTCTTTCCTCTAAGCACACGGTCAACGACTAATGTGTTCCTCTTCGTCCTCCTTTACCGGTTCATCTTACTCCTAGAACTCACCGTTGTATCTCAGGTGCGTTCAGAACAGGTGTATCAGTCGAGGCTTTGGTTTCTCTGTCGGAGCCTTTTGGTTTCTGCGCCGCCAAGTAATCTGTCTTTTGTTAACTCTCTCTTCTTCTTTTTCCACAACACGTTCCTTCTGTTTTGATCTTTCTCGTCTAAGGTTAAGATGTTTTTCGTTTTCCTCATAACTGTTTATTCTTTTTCAATTGCGTTTTAAAAATGTCTCGGTTTTTTTCAGGCTTATCTTCCGTTTCAGATGGTACAGTTTTAAACGCCACTTTTTCTATTTCACTTACTTCTCCATTGTAGCTTCTCATTTCAAATTTCCCTTTATCATCTTTAGGTTTTTTCGTTTGGGTTTCTTAATTTTCGACACAATTCTTCTGAACTGTTGTATTTGCATAATCTTTTTCCCACTGTTCTCTATCGACTTCTCCTTTGGAATGTTCAATATACTTCTTCTTTGCACTTTCATTTTGTAACGTTTTACATGCTTCAGAACACTTCGCTTTCTTCTTCTCTTTTGTCTGCGAGCACCAGGTTTCAATTGAATTGTTCGGTTTCCTGCTCCAGGTTCTTGGGCTTTTTCCTCTAAGCCACGGTACACGACTAATGTGTTCCTCTTCTTCCTCCTTTACAGATTCATCTCTTTACTACTCAAACTGGCACGGGTTGTGTCCTCAGGTGCGTCTTCAAACAG